CTTCACACCCCAACATACTTTGATGCCAGCTGAAACGACAAACGGATACTTTCCTCACCTGATTTAATCAATGAGGCTGTGGTAACACGTGGGACTTTGAACCATCACCCTGAGAAAGCGACGTGGCCCACCTCATCGAGCTTACGCTCTCTAACAAGCTCTGAGCAGGCAAGGCAACTGCATGGCAGAAGCTATTAACATGACTGGCAGTAAATGAAACCCTCCTGCCGGGCCTGATCAGTGACATGGAGGTCGCACGCTGAACTAGCTGCTTTCTGCCTTCCTTCCCCCCCGGGTTTAAGGGGGCACGTCTGAAGCAGCATTTGGCAACGTCGCTTAGTAGGCTGTGAATCCGGCACGTTTGCACCATGTGTTCACTTATTCCTGCGCACAGGGATTCTGCCTGAGCTATTCCCATGCTGCTAGACCTGACGCAGACCAGCAGTGAGGGGCTGCCCACAGCTCCAAGGAGTCCCCAATGCGCGGGGAAGAACTAGTCTCATAGCTTGCTAAACGCTTCCCTTGAGGGAAAGTACATTTTGGGGGAGAGTTTGGCAAATTTCAAATAGCTCCAGTTTTGCCAGTTGGAGCAATCAGCTAAGTACTTTTGTAGCGTCTGTCAGAAAACCAAGTGTGTCACCAGAACACAACTGTGATGTAAAAGAAACAGAGGCAATCTTTTAGGTCAAAGTTATCAGATTCCCTCCCTGATTTGTATGTAGATGCCATCAGACATCTTTATGTCCATAGTAGTTCGCACACACGCAGGCACACACGTACTGGTACGCGTGCCAATCAACAGCTAGTGGTCTTTTTTTGCTCAGTTCAAGGCACACCTATCCTCCACAATTCGTTCCTGAGTTACGAGAGGCAGCAGAAGGGGCGACCAGCTCTGAACTGCAGTACACGGTTTCACGGCACAGCCGCACTGCAGCCCAAACCGGGCAAACGGAGGATGCCAAAGCCCTCAGCAACTCGACAGAACAGCGGGGGCACAATCACCGCGTTGTGTAAAACCCAGGGCACTTGGTGTAACACGGAGCACTTGACCACAAGGATCTGAGCCATGCTTAATAGCACTCTTGCACTGTTCGCCCACTAATAGCCTTAACTTCTTACTGCATTATGCTGGGGTTTAAGCAAAGCAGGGCTTCCCAGCAGGGCGCTGTATAGATTTCCTTTCCCATGAAAAGGGACTTAGGCCTTCACATTTGTTCCTTGTGCCCAAATCCCATTCTTTCCAGGTAGAGGAGAGGAGAATTTTACGGATTGTAATTAAAGAGGTGTTGTTCTGAGCAAGGGAAGGGGGGGACAGGAAGGTTAATGGCTGCATTGCATAAGCAAGAGACACATTAATGAGGAAAGCCTTGTGAGAAGAGCGCTTTTGGGCTCTGCTTGCCGACCTCCTGCACTAGGCAGCAGGTGGATGTTTACAAGCACGCGCTGCTGAGTGCATTTTATCTGGAGATGGATACTGGATCTGAGTGGCTTTCTCTATCACTTTGGGCAGTGACGCTCAGCAGGGGTGAGCGGCTACGGGAGAGGAGTGTTTGCACGACTTGCCTGATCACATTCAGCCATCAGAAAGGAGCCGTTGGCAGGACCACAGACCTCGTTATGTAATAATACATATTGGCCAACATATAACATAATTCTTCCCAGGTCTCCAGCACCACTCACTCCAGAGCCCAAAGCACTATACAAATAGTAATTAAAACTTCCTAGCCCCTGACTTTGCCAGTGGTGCTGAATTCATTTTACAGTGTGGGAAAATAAGCCTGCCATGATTAAGAGAGACAATGTAATTTCAACAGCAGGAGAAATTACTAGGCCCTTCCCTTCCAACAGGGGACTCCTCAAGGACAGACAAGAATGAGCAGAAGGTCTCTTCTCCATCACGCACACTACAACTATCTACTCCTGCACACACAGGTACCAAAAGAATAATGCACCAGGTACATCTCTTCAGTCCCATGGCTACAATGCAACTTGCTTTGCCGAAGTAGAGCCTGAAGGGAAGGGGGGAGTCCTTGAAGAGTAAGGCAGGAAATGTCTGTGGGAAGTCCCTTTTCCCATTCCACCTCCTGGAGATTTTCTCTGCCTTTATCCAGAGCTAACAAGAGTTCAGCCTTGTGGTTAGTGGGGTGGCATGAGGAACCCTGATTTCCTCCCCAAGAAACGTGTTAACAACAACATCCTTGAAGGAGAAAAGTGACACTGGAGCATACTAGAGCTTCGCTTAGCTCAAAACTTGCCCGCACACCTTGGATTCTGGAGACCCTTGGAGAAAAATTAGGCAGAAATCAAGACTTCTACTAAGGAGGCATTGGCCAAGGACACAGCCACAACAACATGGCCATTCCTGGGGAAAAGTCACCTGAACTATCTATTAGTAAACAAAATATCTATCCAATACGAGGAGAAGACTTATTGGCCATTGTATTTCTAACGTGCGTTTGCAGGGCTACTTTATCTGTGTGGCTTCTTTGTCCCCATTACTCCACTTGCTGTCAATACTGGTTCGACACACTTATCAGGTCAGCAAATAAGGCAGCTATTGAGATAACTAAGTAAAATACCTCCTTTCTGACAAAGAGGAAAAAAAAAAAAAAGATCAAATCCCTCTGTGTAAGCACTGATTGAATACAGTTCCCCTTGGCCTGCCTGGGGGAGCCATCAGTTTTATCTGACCTAGACAGCCCAATGCTTTAAATTCATCCTCTGCAGCATGAGCACACTTACCTGGGGCTCGTTCTGTTTCTTAAAGTAGGGTAAAAACGAAACTTAAGTGGCACAAAAAACATACATTGCCCCTCTGCAGAGCATGATTATCACCTTGAGAAACATGTGAAGTTACTTCTCCTTAAAGATTATATAAGAAAGCAATATTTAACCTAATGCACTCAGGCATGCTGGGGCTTCAAATCCCTTATCCTTCATTCATAATGCTTCAACTGATGTGCTACTTTTCATCCCAGCACAAAGATGTACAAAACCCCCCTATGCATTCACTTCCTTACCTGCTCATCAGTGCCTGCTAGAAGAATTGCAAAGGCGCTCCACATCAGGGGCAACACGCAAGAATCCTGCGCACAGGCTCTGAACATACGCACAGGAGCTTAGACTGATGCAAAAGCTACAGGCAGAGCCGCGTACGAGATAAAACAAGAATAGCCATGACTTCTGTGGACTGGCCGAAAATGTCAGTGAGCTTTGGTTTCAAATAGACTGAGGCAACTTTACAAATTGCCATCACCTCGCGCTGATGTGACCTGTTTGTTTCCCAACAGCTGGAGCGGACTTTCGAGTCGCCTTTCAATGAATCGTTCAATCGGATGCCTTGGTTGAACCAAATGCAACGCGTTGCCCTGGGCGTGCTCAGCTCAGCCATGTGAGCAGGCTCCGCCTGGGACAGTGAGTTTGGACGACTGCACTGCCATGCTGAACGCTGACGGCTCTTGCCTGGTGTCACCCGGCGAGACAGCGGCAAGAGCTGGGACGCAGACAGTGCTCGGGCCCCTGTTCCGAGCGCAAATAAAAGAGGAGGAAACAACAGCGACTGAAAATGAATGAAAAAGACCCACTCTTCTCCCTAGAGCAGGAAAGCGATGGAACATCTGTTGGGATCTACGATAAACGCTCCTTTCCCAACCTGTGTTCAGCTGCCAGGTGAATGAAGCATTTAAGTTTGTAATAAAACTTGTCACACGTATTGGAACACTCTCAGTATTTTTCGCTAAGTCATTTGTGGGTCTCTAGCTGTTAAAAGCTGAGTCCTACTGATCTAAGAAACGTATAAAATAAATTGCACGAAGGCAACAGGGACTCTGGTAAAGCACTTTCCTGCTTGCCTGCCTCCCAGCCTCTGCCCTGGCGCAGAGTTAAGCACATACTGATGGGAAGGCAGGGAGCACGCAGGGCTTGCTTCGCAGGTTGAGCCAAGGTCCAAGAGCCACTGCGCTCCAGCGCTCGGGGCTCTGGAAAAACTCTCCTGAGCGTGTGAGAAAAGTGGCCCAGTTGTGTTGAGTCTCCTTCTCTGGAGATATTCAAAACCTGCCTGGATGCGATCCTGTGCAATATGCTCCAGCGGACCCTGCTTGAGCAGGGGGGGTTGGACTAGATGATCTCCAGAGGCCCCTTCCAACCTCAACTGTTGTGTGATTCTGTGGCTTAAACCCTGCAGCTCTCCTTCGGGCCATCTCCTGAGACTACAGTGAACTCCAAGGCAAAGGAAGCTCTGCTTGAAAAAGGACTTCCCACGAGGCCAGTTTTCATTCTTTGGTTTCCTTATGTCCCCCACTGCTAGGTGCAGAGCTGGGCAGAGACCCAGCAGGGACGGCCCTGCTGTTGTGCAGCCCAACGAATGAACTTCACGCACACCGTGGGGGCAGCGGAGGCTGCCGACGCTGCGTTCGCACAGCACCTAGCACCACAAGGTCCCGATCGGTGGTCTGGTGCCTTGACACCAACAGCGTCAGCAGTCAGTGCCCAGGGGGGGAGGGCATGTGGTCAGATGGAAGTGCATTAACTGCAACTGTGGCCACAACGATCTGAGCAGCACGGGGTGAAACGGGTGTGGGCACAGTCCCCAGGGTTCAGAACGACCACAGAGCTGCTACTCAACAACACGTACTGCTTTAGATGCCAGTGGACAGACCGTAAAGAGCCCGTACCTGGTTGTACCTGAAGCACTAGGCCACCATCCTCTCCCTTCCTGTGGTTAACATGCGGATTGCCAGTGCTGACCTGGTGCCTCAGCTGCTCAGGCCGGCTCACTTGCCTTCTCTTCTGCCACCACTTCAGAGGGTTGGCCAGCCAGACCCTCCCTCTCTTAGCAGCTTGGCAAACACTTAAGGATCCTTTGGGAGGAAAA